CCAAGCAGTTCACGTGGAAAAACTCCAAAGGTTCAGCTAAGTGGGCGAGCCCGCGTTCAATATGAGATGCAAGTTACGTTTGTGCTTGGCACTGAAACAGAGCCATTAGTGCACATCCCTGATTCTACCTGGAAGATAAACAGGACAAAACCCATCTCAAACGTGGTAAACGGCAAAGAGCGCAACACAGGGCGACCGCGCCGCACACCTCCAGCCTGCCTGCCTGCCTGCCTGCACCGTCTGCACCAGCAACACAACGCCCACAGACCGACCAAAATAATCGTGCCGAAGCCACGCTAATTAATTACATAAAATTCTCCAACAGAGCTGAAAAGTATCTAATCGGACATACCTACGGAAAAAATGCCGCTTACCTTGTGGAAAATCATTTCACTTTTGTGCCTTTTCTTTACAGCGTGAAGCCCCACACAGGTATGGGCTGCACTCCAAGGAAATGTCACAAAGCATCAAATTATTTACGGTCTCTAGAGAGAGGAATGATTTCATACATCGTCAACAGAGTCAGTATTTGAAATTTCCCGAGGGCTTTGTGGTACCTTTCTATTTCAAAAGGACAAAGCGATTTTCAGAGATCACCTGAAAGACCTCCGTATTCGTGGACTGAGAAAGGAAAAGTTGACCAGGCCACAGAATAACCAGTATCCAAAAGAAACCCTCTCATCCTTAGCCATCAAGAGTGCTTAAGGATCCATGTCAGGAAAGAAAGACCTATCTTCTCAGCTGCAAAACAGTCAACTTTCAAGACCTAGAAAAGAAAGCCGTGCAAGCATGCCTCACGTTGGGGTCACAGTGTACACCCCCGGGGTACTTACGCGCTGAACGTGAGGAAGAAAACTTCAGAGACCTGCTCCCTCGGGGAGAGATGACTGCATCTACCGTCGGCTGCTAGGAAATGAGTAAGATGTGTTCTCTCGCTCTCATCCCCAGGCAATGAAAAAAATCCCAAATGTTCTTCCAAGGCACACTCCCAAGGACAGCCTTAGCGCCACCAAGCTCTTCCTCCCAGGCAGCACCCGGGGTGTGGAAGGCTCACCCCCTTTCTCTGGACCTCTCCCCCATGCTGTGAGCCTGCCGGCTCGGGGAGGGCACCAGGCGAGGGCACGGGCACAGATGACAGAACCACTAGGTGCCACATCTTCACAGCTGGCTCGGAGAGCAGGGAACGAAACGCGAGCAGCCTTTCTGTAAAAACTGCTTCACACACCTCAAGTTTTCGGGACAAACCAGAAACTCTTCCAACCCCCTCACCCAAAAAGAAAGTGTTTATTCCTTTCCAACTCCAAACTGTAGTGCGGGCTAATTGCTAACAATACCAGAAAAAAAAAAAAAGCCTCCCTCACACAGGAGAGGTTGACAGGGTGCACAAAGAGCCGTGACAGTAATAGGCACCCTGGAAGAGAAAGAAGGCAATCAATTATGAGCCATTTGCAGAAATTGTGGGGCTGGCAAAATCCCCACTTACAGCTGCGTTTGATTCATCAAGCCAGGCTGCATCTGATTTGGAAGGGAAATTGAAAATCAGATCCTTATTCTAAGGTCTAGAGTATCGTCAGTAAAATGCCCCAGACCGCCCAGGTTCAAATGCAAAGAGAAGCTAATGACCCCTAAGCAGTAGACCTGATGGGCCAGAGTGGGACGCCCGGGAAACAGAGGCAGATGTTTTCTGTCAGGTGACCACCACCTTCTGTGGGCATCACGAGATAGGACCGGGGTGGGGGGGACCCCGAAAAACCCACACCCAGCACTCGCTGGCCCCATGGGATAAACTCCCAAATCACCATTTGGAAAAGAGAAAAGGCTGCTTTTACCTGTAACCTGATGTGTCTAGGATGATGATAATGATACAGAACAGAAAGTTATTCATTCTTAAATTCAAAATTTCCTTTTCACTAGTATCTATCACAATTCCTACTTATAATGGCCACTGACCCTTTTTTTCCTAAGGAACAAAGAAAGTGTGAACTGAGTAACTTCTAGGCATATTCCTAGGGTTTTTTCAATGTACAGAAATCCATTACTATAGACAGAGATCTTCCAACTTGAAAAAGGTGAGATAGCTCCTTTAGACTTGAAAGGAATTTGACAGCAAATGCTTAACATGCTAATGTTATCTTCCACTACTTAAAAAATTTTTTTTAAATTCTCACCTGAGGATATGTTCATTGATCTGAGAGAGAGAGGAAGGGAGAGAGAGAGAGAGAGAGAGACATGGCTGTGAGGAAGGAACCTCGTTGGGTTGCCTCCTGTAGACTCCCCAAGAAGGGACAGAACCAGCAGCCCAGGTATAAGCCCTGCAGAGGCACCAAACCCACAACCTTTAGGTATATGAGATGACAGTCTAAGCAACTGACCTACCTGGCCAGGGCCCTTTTGCTGTTTTTTAATATGCACTTTGGTATTTACTTATTTTCTCTGATCATTTTAACAATGAAAATGAAAGCTCAGACAGCCCCAATGTCAAGCTGAACGACTTTTACTCCTCTTTTAAATTTCTAACTAACAATCCAGTGCTCCTTTTGTAAATATTTCATTATGATAGGTATATTTGGAAAGATTTATTTATTTTTAGAGAGGGGGAAGGGAAGGAGAAAGAGAAGGAGAAACATTGTGTGGTTTCCTCTCATGTGCCCCTGACTGGGGACCTGGTCTGCAACTCAGGCATGTGCCCTGACTGGGAATCAAACTGGTGACCCTCTGGTTTGCAGGCCCACACTCAATCCACTGAGCCATAGCAGCCAGGGTTGATAGGTATTGTTAAATAAGAGTTGGATATGGCCTTAACGTGGTAGTTTCTTGCATACTTATTTTATTGAATCTTAAAATTTGGAAAAGAATTTAAATTTTTTCTTAAGAACTTTAATGTGTAACCCAAAGCAATTACAACACAGAGGACATTGTTCTCCCTAATGGCGTTAAGTGATTTCCCCAAATTGCCCCGCTGTGCTGCGCCCACAGGCCCCACTTACTTTAAAAAGACAGACCAGCTTCTTGAGAGTTTCAGACGTGTTTGCTTTTGATAAAAAATTTAAGACGAAGCAATCAAAGTGCATTGGTTTGATGCTCTAGCACCTATTACTTCAAAACAAAATAAAACATGATGACTATGCCCTGGCTGGTGTAGCTCAGTGGACTGAGCGCAGGCCTATGAACAAGGGGATCACGGTTCAATTCCCAGTCAGGGCACATGCCTGGGTTGCAGGCCAGTTCCCAGCAGGGGACCCATGAGAGGCAACCATACACTGATATTTCTCTCCCTTTCTCCTTCTCTTCCCCTCTAAAGATAAATAAATAAGATCTTTTTTTAAAATGATGAGTACAAGCTACAACACTAGGTTTCAAAAAAAGTAAGTAACTCACCAGAGACTGAGCGGAGCGGTAAGACTAAAAATACTGATGTTTTCAGTTTAGGAAAGAAACTGCCTCCTGGGAGGGTAACCAGGCCGGTGGGGGCAGCGGAGTATTTGATTGGTTTGAGGAACTGGAAAGAGAAGGGGCTTTTTGGAGGAGGTGGACAGGGAAGGGGAAAGGCGTACAGGGGACAAGAGAGGGACCAGCTGAGCAGAGAGGAGGCCGGGGGCCAGCAGCTGCCAGAATCCACTCTGAAGCTGCAGGCTCTGACCTGATCTGCCCTTCTCACCGCAAATGTCCCCAGTCCCCAAAGGCCGTGCCACATGGCCACTCACCAAGGGACTAGCACCTGGCAGTACGAGTTGAAAACCCAGCTGGGGTGTGGTGCCGCTCTGAGTTTTATTTAAATAGCTGCCGTTGCTTACATTTCCTCCATTCTTATTTTGTATTTAAGACAAAAGCAAGAAAAGTAATACAATGACAATGTCAAAATCAGTTAAAACCAGACTGTGCATTAAAATCAACAGTGTCAATCAGGTCACTTCTGAAAGGATCACTAAGCACAGTTGACAAGGTAGGGAACAGTGGGACAGAGCCCGTGTTGGTGGCATGCAGACAACCTGAATCCTGGCACATCACCAGAGGGATGTGAGGTGGTGCCAGGCCATGGAAAAGTGTTGGGTTAGTCCTTAAAAAGCAGCCCGCAGAACTACCCTATGACCTAGCAACTCCATCCCTAGAAGCACACCCACAAGATCTGAAAACAAGGTTCAAACAGATATTTGTATGTCAAGGTTCACAAAAGCATTACTCACAACAGCCAAAGGGTGGAAACAACCCAGACATCCACCAACAGATGAACGGATACACAAATGAGGTATATCCATACAGTGGAATATTACTCAGCCATAAAAAGGAGCGGCGTTCTGACATAGCACCACAGGAATGAACCCTGGAAATATGCCAAGTCAAATAACCCAGAAATGAATAGACAAATATTGTATGATTCCACTTATGAGAGGTATCTAGAATAGGCAAATGAGACAGAAAGTATAACAGAAGTAACCAGGGGACTGGGGTGAGTACGGAGTTATGCCCAATGGGTATAAAGTTCTGCTCATCATGACGCAAAAGTGCAGGAAATGGACAGTGGTAACCACTGTCCAGTGTTGTGAATGCAGCTAACATCACTGCAGCGAACACTCGGAAATGATTAAAACCGCAAATTTTAGACTTCGTGCATTTTAGCACAACAAAATGACAACATGCCAAAAGTAATTTATCTTTGGCCAAAAAAAAGAAATGCAGGAAAGGAATAAAATAGTCATTTCGCATGGCTTTCAGAACACCCGAGCTTCAATTTTCAGGTCAAAACCACCTAACATAGGGCCGGTCATGCTTGGGGCTCTTGGGTGGCCCCCAGGAGTCAGAAGGAAGTCTGGCCACAGCCAAGGGTCCCTATTAGTACTTCGTTTCAAATAAATAAAGAGATGATTGTCTTTAGGGAAAAGTGTTGGGAACAGCTGCTGGACCTAGAAAGAGGATAACTCCACCTTTTCCCGTCTCGGGTAGAGGAGGGAATGAACGCCTGCCTGCCGGGGCCTTGTCCGAGATGTGGGACAACACCTTACCCTGAAGGTCTGCTCCATTTTCTCCCTGTGGGACACCTGGTCCAGCGTGCCATCAGTCTGACTCCTTTTCAGGCCAGTTGTGATGTCAGGGACATTGCTGAAGTCTGTAGGAAAAGTGACAAAAACACCGGTGAGTTTGGCCACCTGCAGAGAATAGTAATGGCTGGCTGAAAGGCTCAGACAGAGAAAGAAGGGACAAAAAAGCAACTACCCACCCAGAAGGCAGACCACAGCGGTCCTTAATGACACCGAAGTTCCAATGTGAACACAGCTAGTCTGAAACAGATCTGGGCTCTGGCTCATTGAAGAAGCAACTTCTGCCTGTCTTGGTCAAAGGAGACCAATGACCAATCCAAACAAGGGCTTAAATGCCTCAGCACTTTTATCATTTGTGTGCAAACTGTACTTCACTAACCTCCGATCTCATATAATTTATTTGGACCAAAGAATCAAACAGCAGTCACCATGGTTGGCACTTTCCTGTTTCTGGCTAAGTGGGGGCAAAAATCACCAGCTATGTCTCCAAAAACCAATGAGGCAATATTATAGAATCTTACTACATCCCACAACTTGCTCATTTGCAAGTATAATTCGTCTTTTTCTGGCATTGACACTATCTCATCTGAAATTGAAAGTCCCAAGAGGATCAGCAAACTTTGTTAACTTTCAGAGTAAAGTTTAAGGAATAATATAAAAGATAAGTAGAGCACATGGATTTCCAACCTACAAGTGCATGCCACCTCAACAATTCTTTCCGAAACTGGAAAGAAGTTCAAGAAGGATGGAAAGACAATCCTCTATCAAAATATAGCATAGGTTTTCATTCTGACTCTTGTATTTAGTAGGCTTTCCCCTCAACTAGGTGAAACTGGGTGGTTTGGGACCCCAGTCAGCTACAACAGGAAATCATCAAGTTCATACCTATTGGTCTAGGCTGAAAAAACACGGAGAGACATTGACAAACTCTTCACTCAGTGGGAGCAAGGACAAGGGCCTCTGGGAGACCCCTAGAGGCTATGGGGACCCTAGGAGGTTGATGGAATCCATGCTGATATGACCAATCCTTACACGGGCTCTTGCTTTCAAGACCAGGGGGCACTTAAAGAAAACATCTTAATGGTCTGCAGAATTCTGGAGCTCCAATTTTCTCCTACCTTTTGCTTCTTCCCACACCCTAACCCCACCCAGAAGAGAACCAGGGAGTCCACGTTATACTTTCTTGTTGTTGGTTGTCAAGTAAGTTAGCCTGGTAAGGCAGTGCTGATTGCAAAAGCATGAGCCATCCTGGGGAAATTTTGGGGAGCAGTGACAGGTGGGGATACTGGGCTCACGGCTCCCAGGCCCTGACCCCCACACCACAGAGGCAGTCCATCTCCAGCAGGCAAACCCTAACCTGCTGGATGGAAAGCAAGATGAGACCCTAACCACACAGCGACCCTCCCTCATGCTCCTAAGGCTGCTGTGTGCACCTTTGTTGAAGGGACACCAAATGATGGGACTCACCACAGACCACAGCCTGCACTGCTGGTGCATTCAGCACGCACGCACCCCTCCAGCCACCCCTTTGCCAGGCGCTATTTGAGAACCGGCTGTGTTCCAGGCACTGTGTGAGGTGTGGAGGATACAAAGATGAATGGGACACAGTCCCACTCTCAAAGTGAGTGTCCAGTCCGGAGGGAGCCGACTGGTGAGGGAGGGAGAGGCGGACACACCAGTCCAACAGAGAGTCACAGATGAGATGAGAGAAGTCCATACATGGGGACCCTCAGGAAGGAGGTCAGTGCTCTCTGGGGCCCCAGAGACTTTGTAGCAAAGAAGACACTTGAGCCAAGTCCTTACATCTGAGGGGGATTTACTTGTCACTAAAGCTAAAGGTGACCAGGCAGGACGCACAGTGGGGACAGGAAATTCCTTGAATAGAGGCAGCTGAGTGAAGGCAAATCGTACGAAGGATAAGCAAACCTGGGGACTTGCTGAGTGTGACTGCAGCAGCAGCAGGAGGAGTGGGCAGGGAGGGAAGGGGACCCCAGGATGGAGGAGTAGATAGAGGGCAAGACCCTGGCAGGAAAACACAACACAGGAACACTGCGGGCACAAGGTGTAAGGACACAAACAGACCAGGGTAACCACAAGGAAGTCAAGTCAATGCAGAGTATCTCAGTGGGCAGATGTCACAGGTCTCCTCTTTGCCACCCATGTCCTATGAGGAGATACGGAGAAGAGCAGTATCGCCTGCCTTCGGTGACAGGGTAGATGGGGAATGGCAAAGGGTGGGAGTCACACTGTGGTCTGGCAAACTGAGTGTGTGGTCCTTGTGAGCCTGGTAGCCCATGCACACGCAGGGATGTGGACTTGGAGTCCTCACAGTACACCTGGCAGGGAAGCCACGGGATGGATGGCGCCCCAGGGAGAATGCAGAGAATGACACACAAAAGGGACCCTGGATCACCCTGCCCAGTGTGTGGCTTCCCAGGGGAGGCCCCTCTCCCCACAGAGGAGTAACATCAGAGAAGCTCGAGGAAACCAAGGAAGAGCAATGTCACGGGAGCCATCCACGCAATGTACATCTCCGCCGAGACACAGTCACACCTGCGTCGCTGCTGCCTATGCCCCGTACATTAAAAGCCCCTGTATTTCCATAGAGCACACCAAGTACAGGACACATGACCTGCACATGGATTCATGGTGAAGATTTCTATAGTACCTGCTACACGCCAGGTAGGTGCTAGGTTGTGTTGACACAAAGCTGAAGGAGACCTGAGTCCCCCTGAGGCCTGAGATGGTGCGGGCACCAGAGCTCGGGAGCCTGGACGAGCCAGAGGGACGCCCAGACAAATGCCACGGTGAATCAAAGGCCGGGGTCATGTGAATTCTGAGTCATCTACTCCACATGTTGATAAGACTCCGGAATTCAAATGCTGAAAATCCCCCAAACCACTTTTTACCTCTTCCAAAGGCAAAATGTTTACCTGCACGCCCTTCCTGTCAACACCCTGCCCACCCAGTGAGGAACAGCCTCGCTGTGACTCAGTGAGGCTGCCCTGGGGCCTTCGAGGGCCCCTGGGTGCAACCAGGGTCCTCTCAGAGGCACTGGCTGGGACGGGCTGGGTCACAGGAACCAACACCCAGGAGGCTGGTGGCTCCAGGGATCCGAGGGGAGGAGGCAGCGCCCCCACACTGGGCATTCTCAGAGCCGCCCCGGTGCCCCAATCTGCAGAGGCCAAGGGGGCTCTGGACACACACAGTCTCTGTGGGGACCGCCTCCTTTTCCAGCCTCTCCCCGCAGCAATGCTCTGACAACAAAGTACAGGACAAGCCGAGTCTGACATTGACCACAGCCATGGACCCCAGTTCTGGAGCCTCAGACTTCACCAGGCCCTGGGTCCCCATGAAAGGGAATGTGTCCCCAGTATCCTCTCCAGAGGAGAGATGAGAACCAAGGAGGTTCCAGGAGAATGGCGGAGCATCTTTAAAAAGTGTGGGCTGGTAAGACACGGATGCTGACATCCTGTCCTATGTATAGTCCCCCGATACTCCGCCCACATCCTGAGCGCCAGCTGCTAACAGGAGTGAATACATCCTCCCCTGCCTCCAGCCAGAACACTGGCTTCCCACCTTGGGAGAGCCTGCTGGGCAGACGTGTTCTGGGACGTGTGTCAGGGCACTCTAAACGTCAGGCCATTAGAAGCACGTAATTCCCACCCACCCAGTGCCCATCACATCCAACCATGGATGTCCAGGCCAGCTTCAGGAGTCTTTAGTTGATCTGATTGTAAATAATGCAAAAAAAAAGAAAAAAAGAACTACAAGACCAAGTCAAGACATATATGTATATCTAGTAAACACATCCTATTGTCTTTCTCGTTTTATTCCTGGGGAAACGGACAGTTTGGGGTGAGGTCCGGCAATCTGAACATCAGACACCTCCAGGGGCCAACAAGAGCTTCTGCTCAGTTCCCCAGGTGGACTGACTCCCTCTATTCCTTATTCTCCCCTGGGATGGGTGCTGAGCACCCCGCACCCACCAGACCGCCCAATATCAGGTGCCTCCCTTTCTCCTCTAACTCAAAGCCAGTGTTTGGAGCATGAGGACGCCCCAGGCAGGCTGTTGGGGCTGAGGGCTGCCTCCCTGCACTGCCACACACCGCCAGCTGCTGAAGGACAGCTCAGGGTGGCACGTGGTGCAGGGAGGAGACACCCACTAGCGGAGCGTCTCCGTGTTCTGGCGTCAGCACAGATCCCACGCGTGTCACTCACAGCCGAGCAGGCTGCAACCCCAAATCCTTCACAAGTAAAGGGCAAAACCTGTGCTCAAGTAACATCCTGGGTTTCAACTTGAAAACAGGAACATCAGGAAATGCTGAAGTTAAGGCCACCTTGCCCACACAGCTCATAACGTGAATTCAGAGTTTACATCCATGTCACTTCCAAGTCCAGCCTCTCCTGGTTAGCATGCGGGCGTGTGGGCTTTGCCGCTCACCCCACCCCACCCTAAAGCATTATGAAGCACCAGGCTATCAAGGTGCAACTGTGCTGTGTATGAGGGGGGATTCTATGTAAATGGGGGGCACTGGAGAGCCTGGGGGAGGGCTCAGGCACGCAGTGGTCTCCTGGCTGGTCTCCGGCCTGCTACTTATGACTCAAAGTCTCACTTGCTCAACAGGCAGTCACGATGTTTGGCTCATCCAGCTACACCCAACCAGGGAGCAAGAGAAGAGGCAGCAGGTTCCTTCCAGGACCCGGACACCAGCCAGGAGGCGGCAGGCAGAGCCTGCAGGCAGCAGGCAGCTGGGTTGCCAGAGGGTGGGTGAGGGGTCTGTCTGGGTGGGACCGACCTGGAGAGCACAGACAACTGGTTCCTAGAAAAGAGGCGTCTAGAACTACTACTCGGGTCTGAGAAAGCCTGTTGTGGTCTCATAAACGGCAACGGTAGGAGGAACTGAGCTAAAAATCTCAAGATAACATCAGTCCGGAGGCCCAGAGCAGGAAGGCAAAAGGAGAGAACATTTGTTTTCCCCTATGAGGTGCAGTAAGACCTTTTTTGATAAATTAATGGTGGTAGTCGGAGCATCAGGAAAAAGTCTGCTGCAATTTGTGGGTTGAG